TTGGGTTTGTTTTGTTTATTTTATAGTGTTTTGTTTTGTTTTATTTCTAATCCTACTTAATTTTTTATTCAGTCTATCTAGAATCCAAATGAATAATGATCAATAAAAAATTGCGTACGAATTAATTACACTTTCTTTTGTCTTTCTGCAATCATACAGTAAACCGATCTTTCCGTTTCTACAGCTTCGAATCATTTAGTATCTTAATGAATTCATGTTTTGATTGCCAGCCAATTTCCGATTTCGTTGATTTGAATTGGCGTATAAATTACTTTAATGTTTCCACTTTGCCACAACGAGATTCCAATACTGCTGCCACTTTCTGCTCTGTACAAACACATTAAAATAAATGCACATACAATACGAAAATATAGTAGATGCTTGCTACCGCAACGCCACCGTGTTGGCCATGTCGTATACATGATGTACACATTAGTGCACATATGTACATACATTCATATGCGATGCACAAAAGTATTCATACATACATATGAATGTGTAAATGTACGTTTGTATATACCCCTGTGCATGTACTTATGCACATTTAGTTCAGGTAGATATTTTAATTTATTATTTATTCACTCATCCGTTGAAAACAAAAATATATAGTACATAACTAAGTATTTCAACAAAATAAATCGCCACTGTGCAATTATTAATGTAGAACTAGATTTGTGGGTCATTTAATAAAATTAGCGAAACTGTCGAAATGTCATGCAGCAATGTGTAACATAAATGTGAGCGCTAACAACAAGAAATATTTCTTATAAAAATATGACGGTTAATGTTGTGAAACCTGTTGTTTTGATCAGATTGCGGCAAGCTGCCGGCCAGTGGTGGTGGGTGCGCCACTGTTTCTGCAACATTTTTATTGCGCAGGTACATACATACATACTTACATATGTTTAATAATATGCACATATTGATTTCGAGTATATGTGTATGTATATGTACATATGTATGTATTCATATGGCAGCGGAATTCGGTGGCACGAGGCTTCGTCGCAGATAAATACAATTTTCTTAACCTAGGTCTCGTGGTCATAATTCTAAGCTCCTTAAAGCCTTCGATCTATCGATATTGGAAATCTAATAAAATTAATTCATGCCACCAACTGGTTAGGGGATAAACTACTCCCTTCGTTGTACCAAAAATGTAACTGAGAATAAGTGAGTACCAATTGAGGATGCAACATTAGCGTGGCATAATCAATTCAAGTCTAACCAAACTGAACCTTAAATAATCTAACCCAATCTTGAGATGTATGTATCTATATTCGGCGTCATCTTTCTTAATTACTCATTACTACTCCAATATGTTTAAATTCGAAGGAAATCTCAGTCTAGCCATGAAGTCAGCGGCCATACTTTTGAATGTGGGGGAGCCCTACCAGACACAAATACAGCCAAAGAACAGGTGAGGAAGGAAAATAGAGCAAAATGCTTACTTGGTGGATATGGTTTAGAGGGATTCCAATTTCTATTCAATCACTGGCCACTGTATATAGTAAAACCTCATTCGTTCCACACCCCTAAAGCTCTCCTAAGCTTTTTAGTAGCCAGTAGGAATCAAAGTAACTGCTCAAAAACAGGAGGTGGAGCTAACCCGATGTGTTTGCAGCTGATGTGGCAGGACTTCCGTAAGAAACGGATTTTTTTTTTAAGCTTTAGGGATTCGTGAAAGCTTCATAATGCTTCAGAAGGCTCAAATATCTCAAAAACGTATACCGAATTTGAATCTCAATCAAATCTTTTATTTTTTACGCGAATGAATATCCAAAACATCATGTATATAGGTGCATAGGTGCATTAGACCGTACCAGAAAAAAGTTCACCGTACACCCCTGATTCCAAAAAACTTTTGCAAGGCAATATCGAAAATAAAAAAAATTTTGCCGAACGTTCGCCTTTTTTCATTTTGCGTTCAGTCTTTGGCATATACCGTCGGATCTTAAATGATGATATATCAATGCTCCAAACGACATAAAAATTTCAAATATATGATTAATTCAAAAAATTATTGAAAAAATTCAGTACAATAAAGTTATGGGTATCAAATAAAATTGAAATTAAAAAAAAAATAAGTATTTTGACTCACAAGAACGAAAAGGTATTAAAAATGCCGTTTCAATCATTTGTATTTCTTTAAGGTGATATATAAGTACGAAATTCGAAGTAATGGTATGTATATATATATATATATTAGTCTTTAATTTGTAATTTTTTCAAAAATATATATTGCAAATTTTCAACGATGTCCACCAAAAAAATTTATCCTTTTAAATTTTACTACATTTTCTCTTTGTTTTGATATTCATATTCTACATTGCACTTAATGTTTTAAATCATTTCTTTAATAAATCAAAGTCCTGCCGTCAGCGAGAAAAAACTAAAAAAGCAGTTTTAATGTTTTTTGGCCCCAACTTTCAATTTTTGTATGTGTAAAATTGACTTTCGCACGGTGTTATTCCAGTAAAATTATTTAATAAAATAATATTTTCGAAACCACCTTGCAAAAATATTTTGGGCTGAGCGTTGTACGGCGAACTTTTTTTTGCTTTCTTGCAAGGTACTGCGGTCTAATGTACATATACATTTATGTTTGTACTTATACATATATCCATTGTACGTCTATAACGGGCGATATTTTTATAGAAAATTTCAATTTCACTTCGCAGCATCTAAAAGTGGATAACCCAGCGCGATTGCCAAGTTGACGAGAGTTGGGGAGAAACGTGAGCTGTTTACATTATTGCCAACAGCAGAAAGGAAAAAAAAAATGCTTTTTGTACATTGACGACACGCTACATGCTGTGAGTTGGTTGAAAACTTTTTTATTTTTATTTTTTTGCTTTACATTTTTTTATGAAATAACGTTGCATGCGTGCCACACATGTTGTTGTTGCTGCCTGAATGGGGGTGGAGTTGATGGTGCGGCTGAAATAAATGAAATGAAACTGACATATACTCAATGAGGCTGACGGGTACATTCATTGATGACGTCGAACACAACAGCAGAGCTATCTATTTATTCATACAGTCAATGAAGGAGAAGCTGTGGCGGCATTACTCAGGCACGCATGAGTACGCACGTATACATAGATGCACATTATACACGTACACTTTTGGTCAGCTGATTAAGTTAAGTGACATTTTGACCAGTTTTGGCTTTTTTTTTATTTATTTATTTAATGTTTATAAATTTTTTATAAAGCCTCCACAAACTTCATACAAAAAATTCAACAAACTTTAACGATTACACCCAAAAATTTTTAATTTTTTTCAGAATTTTTAGAAAAAATTTAGGTATGCAGCTTTATAGCCCATTCATTTTTAGTAGGTTAAAGTGTACATGTCCAAACGCTAGGAAACCGCGTTGATTTTTAATAATTTTTGTTTTTGCTGACGGTGCTGCGCATTTGCTTCCACAAAAAAAGGAATTGTCGAACTTTTTTATGGAAACTAAAATTTTAATAAAAATTCTGAAAGAAAAGTTTAAAATTTTTGGGTGTGAATTTGTATAATTTTCGTATGAAGTTTGAGATGTGGATTTATGTGGTGCTGGTTATGTCATGTGCTTTTTTATAAAAAAAAAATTATAAACATTAAAAATAATTAAAATTGGTCAAAATTGTTACTTAACATACATAATCAGCTGGCCACAAGGGTACATGTACTAGATATGTATGTATATACATATGTATCTAACAACGAAATAACCAAAAGAAGCAGAATCAAATATTACTCACTCACAGGGTAAAAAGGGAGGTTAGAAAGTAAACAATTTTTGTGCTTGCCCGAGGCGAGTGACCACGGAAGCTGGCGCAGAATATGAGTACTAATGTGGATACATACCACAAAGAGCGCAAAAACACAGCTCAGGGACGTACAAGCAGTGTTGCCGTTGTGCGACTAAAGGAGCAATTTGACACTTTTTTAAGCGCCAAAATTTTGATTTTTGGACCCTTTAGCAAAATTATGTGCGACTTTGGCCCGATTTCTGAGATTTTATTTAGGAAATGTTATCAGAACCATGCTATTAAAAAATATTTCCTCCTATACATAAGTACGAAAAAATGCATGACTTAAAACTTCTCCTTGCAGCAACTTGATTTATATGTATGCTTCCAACCCTGTTTTGTGCAAAGCTTGTCCGGCTATTTTTTTTTTTAATTCAACAGATTTGTTCTTTTACTAGTAAATAAAAGCAAAAATAATATGGTGACCATTTTTTTCGTCAATGACCCCTTTTTTTGCAACTTTCTGAAAATTCTCAACGGCAACACTGCGTACAAGGGAGCAAGCAACATACATATTTGTTTGGTTGGCTGCGGTTAACTTGCCTGTTGACTGTTGCTTAACATACAGTTGCATATTTAATTGTTTGCTGGCACGCTCACAGAGCAGTCGAGTGAGATGAGTTGCCTTGTTGGTTATGTTTTTTATTTACTGGCTGCTGCATGCATACCCTGCAGGAAATTTAATTAATTTAAAAGTAATTTATAAACTACCTTATTTTCAGTGATAACTAATTATCACTACAACAAACTCATTTTTTAACATGGTGTTGTCCTAGGAAGCAGTCAATTGCCATTCCACAGATGTTTTTTCATACTTCCAAAACACAAATTGTTTCTCTGAGTAAAAAGAGTAACGAAACTCGAAACATTTATTACTCATTGTATTTGTTTTAAAGTAGTCTTTCAATTAGTTGATTTGACAAAATTCACTTGCCTCCGCCAGGGTACTTACACACACATATACATGCAATTAGCGCTTATTTGTGTGAGTATCCGTGAAGAGCGTACTTTGGTTGAAGAGAATCCAACCAACAACAGAGTGTTTTCCGCCAAATTTGAGTGTCAGCGAATAGCTTTCCCCCCCTCTGCATCCAAAATTTTAGCGGACTCCTTTTGAAGTGCATATACTTACTTCATTTAGAATTTTGTTGTGCAAAAAGGAAGTCATTCCCGCGCATTACTCTCGGCATTAGCTAAACAAAGTGGCGACAAAAAAGAGCACCCAGCATAACAAATGTTGGTATGCTTACTTGTCGCCTGCTCAGATCAGCTCCCGGCCAAGCAGCTAAAATATGCACGTACACAGACCAAAAACAAAGGCAGGCGGGCAAGCCAACAAGTAGGCAGAAAAGTCAGCCAGGCAGCCAGCAGCTAAACACCTAAACACCTAAACACCTAAACAGCTAGGCAGCTATATACTTATTTACATATATGATGTGTGGCAACTCGCCAGTCACCAGGAACGCCAACTCTTCAGTGTGCGAATGACTGATTGACCGTTCGGACGAACTGTTGCCGTTGTTACAAGCAAGCGGGTTGCTTGCCGTGCCCCCATACCCGGAAAGTGTTATCCCCAAAAATGCTAGAAAGCCTTATAAAGTTGAAAAAAAAAAATTAGTAACGCTGTGGTGTGGAAATGAATAGCACTAATTATATTTGAAAAATTCATGCAACAAAGTGTTTATCTACAAAACTTCAATCGAGCAGAAAGGATAAAACAAAAAGCTGAAAACGTGCGCAAGAGTTTTAAAAATAAAAATGTGACAAAGAACTCAAGTTTGTGTTAAACAAAAAGAAAGTGAGTCGCTGCGAAATGCAGTGTTGAGTTATTTGAAAAAAAGAAGTAAACTAAAGAAAACTTTATACTAAAGGAAGTGAGCGGAGCTGATTTGAACTTGCGCATTTTATGTGCAACCCGCCAGGTAATATTTAGCTGTCAGCGGCTAAAAAAAGATTCAAAACTTTTAATTTATTTTTATAATGTGCTCGAGTTGTATTATATTTAATATTACCTAGTTGAGAGTGTAGTTGCATAATTCATTCTAGCTGCAAAAATGCCTCTGCTAAGACTTTCACGATCAACAATGACAATGAACACGAAACCCCTAAAAATACAGCTACCGAGAATATGTGACAAAAGAATGAAAATAAACGAAACTGACTCAACACAAAACATGTGCCTACAAAACGAGGTAGTAATGCGGTATGCGAGTATGTCTGGCAGCTGCATATCGGATCTTTGCTGTAAGAGTGTCATAATCACAAAAAAAAAGTAAGCGCGCCTGGACCACACTGGAGAAGTAAAACTTATGTTACACATATAGTTTATCTCGTAACCAGGGAACGGATTTTTAGGACCCATAAACCTATAAAAAAATGCGTAATAAAACAGCGAAATAGGCACGAAAAGGCACTCGAAATAACAAGAAAGGCAAAAGCAGGCACTAAACAAGACAAAACCTTTAAAATAACACGTGTTTACAGGAAAAATGTTCATCGGACGCCACTACATATCCAATTGCTATATAGAATTTCTTGCCGATTGCGAAAATCGAATTAATTTTTTATTCTGTGGATAAGTTTTCGAGATCTTTTTAGGTGTACATGGCGTATGAGTAACATTCTTTACTGCTCATTTTTCAGACAAAAAAAATCTTTGCGCATTTTCATATGACCGCTTATTACTTCTTTATTTATCCATCGATTTTCTTCATTATCAACTTGATATTTTTGTGACAGAACAGGTTTTAACACAGCTTTGAATGTTTGAAGTAATAAACGTGCGCTCAACGTGAGTTGATACAAGTGGCGCCCAATTTAAATATGGAACGTTTGAAACTTTTATAATATCAGGAATAAGGGCTTTCACCACGCAATAATTTAAAAAAGGCAACATCAAATGTTTATATATGGAATCAGGGAAAGCTAAATCGGAGACATTCTTAATCGAACATACTCTATCTCTTTAGCAGAAAAAAGGCAATTTCCCTGCTCATGACCAATATACATATGTACACACATACATCTACTTTTGCTTAAGGTTCTATCTAGATCCCTACCTCTACCCTGTTCATTCTAATTGCATCTATGTTATTCTGTTTCGATAGTAACATCAATCAAAATATCGAAAACAAAAGCACCTTTATCGAATCAAAATCGATATAAATGTCGATAACAAAATCGATAACAAAATCGATAAGAAAATCGATTAAAATATCGATAAAAATATAAAGAAAAAAATCGATAACAACATCGATAAAAGTATCGATAACAAAATCGATGAAATGTATCGATAAAAATATTAATAACAAAATCGATAAAAAGTATCGATAAAAATTTCGAGAGCAAAACCGATAAAAATATCGATTTTTATATCGATAAGTTTCGCAAATATCGATATCAAAATCTATAACATCGTTAAAAATATCGATAACAAAATCGATAAAAATATCAATAACAGAACCGATAAAATATCATTATTATATCGATAAGTCCCGGGAATCCCGAAAATCTCAAAAATCCCAAACTAGTTCCCAGATGGAGTCTATGTCTCCATCTATATCCTTTTCTCTATAAATACCTTTATTTCAATTTTTCTTCCTATACTTTTATCGATATCCTCATCCTCATCTTTTTCTTTGCATTTATCTTTGTTTTTACTTTTATGTTTATCATTTTCTTTATCTACATATTCCCCTTCACCTTTGCTCTCATATAAGTAAATCAAGTGTTTAAATTTGCCTTGATCTTCATTTTTGCCCTTATCTTGCACTTGTGCACAAGGGTATATTAACTTTGTTCACATAACGTTTGTCTGTAAGGGCCAAAACGAATCGTGATAGATATAGACAAGTGTATACATTAATGCTCAGAATTAAAAAAGAAATCGATTAAGCCATGTGTGTCTGTCCGTCTGTCTATCCGTCCGTGTACACGATAACTCGAGCAAAAATGGAGATATCTAAACGAAATTTGGTACGTAGGTTGCCCTTTGCCCTTTATCTAAGGTAGGTTGGTATTGAAAATTAGCAAAATCGGACTATAACCACGCCCACTTCCCATATAACGGTATTTTCGAAAAATGCAAAAACCACGATATTTCAGTAAATATTGGATCCAAATTTTTGAAAATTAATATGTGAAGAAGAATATTGGTACAAAATAATACTATTATTATGAACGTTTTAGAAAATAGGCGTGACCCCACCTACTTATGATGACATAGTATATCTCAGTAGCCCCTTTCACCAATCCTCGGTACGAACCTTTTCTTAGGGTCCAGCTAAGAAATCTATTGAAAATCTTTGAAATCGGGCAATAACCACGCCCACCTCCCATATAACGGTAATTTACAGAAACACGAAAACTGCGATAAATCCGTAACTACTGAAGATAATTCACTTAAAATCGATGATTGCAATTACCAGCTATCATAAGATGAGAATATTATACATTTTTTGACAATGGGCGTGGTCCCCCGCCCTTATGGCCACAAATATGTACCTTGGTTACAGATTTATCAATTTCTACCAAACTCGATGCAAAGCCATTCGTTGAAAGTTATTAAAATCGGACTAAAATTACACCCGTTTCTTGTATAACGGTAAATTTCAGAAATGGGAAAATTCCGATATTTCAATAACTGAATGAATAAAATAACTTGTTTCAGCCCCAACCATTTGCGTTGCACAATTTCCGTTGAATTTGCCAATTTACTCCCAACCAACTAAGCGCCGCTTAAGAAGTTTCACTTAAAAAAATAATAATATATTGAGTTAAGTATGCAGAAATTACCGCCACCAGTTACTCTATGTAGTGTAAAAATTTCAAAGCTGTGTCGATTTTTACTACGTGAGCATATATGTAAAAGCAGAGTTGTTATTTTTTTTTTTTTTATGATACTCTTGCAGCAAAGGTACGATAAGTAGTATGTAACTAGTCGACATGGCGTATGAAAGGTACACAGGGCGTATGCGTACCCTAAAAGGTTTGACTGTCCATTAAACCGTACCACCTTAGTTACATACAAGCAAACGAAATAAGATTCGCCGTAAACCCCCAAGTCTAGATTTGCGGTTCAATGTCTAGAATATGAAGCATCAAGTTATGGAAACAGTTTTTAAGGGTTGCCAACTTTGGCCAGCTAATAGCAACCCGCCCCATTTGAGAGGCAAAATCATGAATCATCCACGAATTGGGAAGGGAAATTCAAATGATTAATTTATGTATTCTTCCATAAGTGTACGAGCGTAAATAATGTTTTTAGTTGTTGCTATATATACTGCTATAGTTTAACTAGACATTTTTTATGATATTTTTTCCATAGTTGCGTTATTTAATTTTTTTATATTCTGTCTATGTCACATTTTTTTTTTTTTTTTTATTTACCCGTAAAGCATTTCGATAAAATAAATGAAATTCGTGGATTCACTTCTGTCGAACACGAATGAAGGTTTTAATATTTTCTATAACATCTGCGTTGTTATGATCAGAATTTATCTAATAAACGTACCAGGTAGGTGTGATTGGAACTGTCACGCAGCGGCGAACTTAGGACTAAAGTTCGCGTGACGTTGTGATACCACGACAGGAAAAGTTACGATGTCAACTTGACCAATTTAATTTAGTTATAGTTAAGTTTGCTATTTGTTCTCAAAACTATTATAAAACCAGTTGTTTCGTTATTTAAAACAAACACATTAATGTGCATGGGGCAGCAGCATCTTTTGTCTTTGCCAGCAAGATGATGAAATAAATATGTAAATTCTCAAAATTCCACATATTGAGCGTTTTTCACGCCCCGTCAACGTCGTTTGTTTAACGAAGACCGATTGATATATTTTGTCACCATATGTTCTTCTGTACAGATACATATGTGAGCATAAGGGTGGCTCTTCGAAGACATTTACAAAAAAAAAACTTTGATTGGGATACTTTTGAGTTTTATTCCAACACAAGAAAACATAAGAGCTGTAGCATTCATAGGACAATGGAATGAGGCGAAGATGTGCTTCAAGGCTTCAAAATCGAAAACAAAAATTTTAGAAAGAATGTAAAGCTTTTTTTTGCTTTAAGCAAATTTTAGCGACTAGAAGACCCTCTTAACTATGTTCATTCGATTAAAATCAAATTTTGTAAACACACATTTTTTTTATGGTACGGAAACTTAATTGAGGGGTAGGACAAATTTCAAACTTGAAAAGATAAGGGCCAACTTAATGTTCTAGCACATATGTGTATAATTGAATAAGTAATATTTATAAATACAGATGCGATCAACTAATTAGGAACGAAATTCAAAATGATATTGATGCAAATTGTGTTTATTTATTTATTTTTAATAATTTTATTTAAAATATAATTCAATCTATAACTGAAACCACAGTAGTAATAGTTAAAAAGCTTGCAAAAATTGCAACAAAATTAATCAAACTTCAAAAAATTGTCATCAAAATTTCAAAATTTGTAATTAAAATATTTAGAATATTTCCGGGTATGCAGTTTTGTAGCCCATGCAATTGTAGTATAAGAAAGTGTAAATTTCTAGTCGTTAAAATTTGTCGTTGATTTTTTAGATTTTTTTTTTTGCGGAGGGTGTTGTTCTTTTCTCGCTTTATTTTCTTAATTTTCTTGACATTCGGCTATCTTATAGACATTCTTTCAAGCTAATTTTAAAACAAGAAAGCGTCAAATCTTTCTTCTCAATCTTATTACTACACCTGGTATAATTTCACCATGGTAGTTATTACATTTTGTTGTTTTCATTACCACATTTCTATACTAAAAAAGAAAAAAAAGAAAATAGGTACTTATTAGCCCACTTTGTTGCGGAAACTCAGTTGACCAGGTACTATACCCTGCAGTGCGCAAGTGTCCCTATGAAATAAAGTTACTAGTTCTGAGATAGTATCTAACAGAACAA